AGCCGGGGCTAATGGGAGTTGGAAGTCCAACAACATGGTGGCGGGTGGGTGGGTGGGGCTCAGGTTCCCCATCTGAAGTTGAAACCTAGCCTTACAAATTATCAAGTTGCAACCATGTAGATGTACAAAGAATTTTCTCAACGTGGCTAACAATTCAAATTCCAGTGGAAATTGCTACTGTCTTTAGAAAGGGGAGGAAAGATGGAAGCTTGCCATCACACACAGTGTTTAAAAAGCAAATGAAAATGCATTTGTTTATTTTGTCTTACCTTCCAATTACTTTTATGTCTGAGATTGCATAAAAGTAGCGTGTCAAGTGCTGTGGATCCACATATATTTCCCCTGTTGCTGGCCTGAGCAGTCTTATCCTTAAGTCTGTGACCGTAAAGAAATCTCTTAGGTTCTTGGTTGTGTCGAGCTGCCCATAGAGAGAAGCCATATTATGGAGCCGAGGCCCAGCAAAAAACGCAAATCTGTCCTTAATCTCAAAGTGGAGGATTTTACTGTTTGCCATGTACCCCATAGAATATTCTTCTGTGCAAATGATTTCTAGGACTGTTTGTTGGGACAAATCCCTCACTGTTTTTGGTTCCATGTTGAAAGCATTTAAACAATCTGTAGCGTAATACTGATATGGCTGCCACGTCCGACCATAGTCGAGGGACTTCTCCAGGATCATTAGGTCTGGGCGGCCAGATTCAAAGGTGATGACTATGTTGTCCGTTAGCTCGATGGTTTTGTTCCAGTACAGGGTGATGTTCACAAGGAGAGGCTGGGGGTAACCCTTCCAAGTGGTAGACTGCCAATAGGTGGAGGGATACCTTCCTTCAGCATCAAACATCAGTTCAGGCGGATGCGCCAGTTCATCAATGGCTGCATCACACTCATTGCACATGTAGGGATTTCCCTGGAAAGAAGGGGAAAAAACAGCTGTAAGAAGGATGGCCGCTTGGATGAAATGATTATGAGAGTGTAGTCAGTTTCACAGGTTATAGCTATTGGTTTATTCAACTTCCAAATGGCAAAAGGTTGCATGCCAGAGGCATGGGAGATTTAGACCTTTGGAGAGTCTCTTCACTATAAAACAAAAACGAAATAACTGTTAATCATTATTTAACCTGCCCAAGAAAAACTACACAAGATATCTATGACTTGCTGCAACTGCAGGGACCCCTGATTTTCATCAGAGCAGGAGCGGGAGGGTGTGCTCTTAACACAGTCTCTGATGCCCACCATTTTCTCAGTGTAAAGTTCTTCCCCAAAAGAGCAGCAGGTGGGTTGGGAAACAGTTTGGAGGAATGGACTGGGAAAATGGCCTTGGAGGAAAGGGCTAATGTCACTGCAGCAAACCAGGGGACTCCTGCAGTTGCTTTACGTAAGAAATCAAACAGCTGGGGGAGATTAGCTCACAGATCTCCCACATCTGATGTAGTCTGGTCCTCAGTGTATCAGAAACCATGTGGGTGTTCAGGAGCTTACATTCTTTGTGTACAGTGATACCTTGTGTTACAAACGCTTCGGGTTACAAGCTCCGCTAACCTGGAAGTAGTTACCTGGGGTTGCGAACTTTGCCCCAGGATGAGAACGGAAATCACGCGGCAGCAGGGGGAGGCCCCATTAGCGAAAGTGCGCCTCAGGTTAAGAATGGTTTCAGGTTAAGAACGGACCTCCGGAACTAATTAAGTTTGTAACCTGAGGTACCACTGTATTATAGATGTTTATTGACCTAAACAACCAACTGCTGCCTGCTCAGTGTTATATACGCAGATGCTGGATATGTTAACTGGCTAATAGAACTAGTGACTATACATTGATGACTGGAGTGGCAAACATGTGCCATCTGTTCTAGTATGATGGATTTTAAATGTAAAAGCACCCGTGAAATGTAAGAAGCTGTCTTATACTGATTCATTATAGTGACTGGAAGCAGTTCTCCAGGGTTTCAGACCAGGGTCTTTTTCAACCTTACCTGGAGATGTCAGGGATTGAAACACAGATGTTTGGTACGGAAACAAAATGCTCAGCCACAAATGATGCTCTTTTGAATTCCTGCTGTAGAGACCCAACCAATGTACGCCAAATAATGAAATTGCCCTTAAAAACTCAATGCCCATTTTTGCAACACGTCAGGGGCTACAGCTATTGTATTTGCAGATTGTCTTTTTACAACTGCCTTTCTGTTAAGGAGTGGATTTCCAAAATCTGAACAAGAATAGTCCTGCTTTGTCTTTTTCTTAAATAAAGCCTTCCTCCACAGTTATGTGGTTAGCAAATTTTAATGTTAGCCTTACTGAGGTTTAAGAGGAACAAAATTGTTTATTTACCCTGAATGAGTTGCTGGTAATCAACTCACCCCCCCCCCCCAAGGAACGATGAACAAGTGCCTAACAGCTCAACAGCCCTTGATTCTTTTTAGAAATATGCTCAGTAGTGAAGCTAGGAATGTTTCTTTCTTCTTTAAATCACAAGTGCATTGCCCAAGAAGAGCAGTGCAAAACAATGGTCCCTTCCAGGGCAAATGCATCCAGATAAGCCATACAGACTGTATGCATTCCTCTGTAAAACAATACCCACTGTGGCATTTTAGATTCCTTTTGTCCCTTGGCCTCAAATATGTCATGCTTAACTGTGTGCCTGTTTGGTGATGTCTTCCTTTAAAGACCTTTACACTGCTCACCACAAATCATTTTGTTGTGCCGCAGACTACAAGCTCAGGGGCTTGATCCGGACATCTGCTACCCTATTACTTACAAACTAGCAGAGTACTTCATGTAAGACTTATTTCTCTCTCCCTCTCCTTCTCTCCCTCCCTCCTTGCCCTCCAGTAGATGCTGGCTCCAATTTATCAGGACAAGATAATCCAGCACCACTTGATTAGGGAGGTGGGCGATGACATCAACTCTGTAACTGGACTGCTCCTGAGGTGGTGGCTGGAGATATGAACTGCACGTTTATATATAATCTTGCCAATAAGCGGGCAGCTTCTACTGGCGCTTTCCCTCCGTGGCAAGGTGAAAGTGAATTATTCTCCTCTTGACCTTTCGATGCATTAACTCGAGAGCTGCCACCTTTGCCTTTCGCTCCAAAAGGCTATCTTGTTTGGAGGCTGGGGTGGCTCAAAAAATGCTACTCCAAGAGCATCACAATAGGCTAAATCATGTCTCTTAAATCATCTGTATATCAGTTCAGCTTCTGGCAGCTCAAATCCATGATAAGTGCTGTTGCAGCTAAATACCGACCCTATTAGAGGCAAGGAGAGCACAGAGACTGCTCTGCTTACTGCTATAGAGAGGGGGTGAGATGACTTTGTGCCATCATATGGGCAAGTTTTTATTGGCCCATAAGATCCACTGGCTGTTGCAAAATCAAGCATAAGAAGGACTGCACACATGTCTACCTGCCCTGGACAAACCTGTTACCTGGGCCATTAAAAGCAAGGCAAGAAAATAGTTGAAGAAGATGACTGTGAAAAAGCTTATACTTTGGAATCAGTTGGAAGGGGAAAACAGCCTTGCAAATAAGTCCATAAAGGCTACTAGCCCAGAAGCATTTTTGCCAGTCCTTCTGTACTCACAGTAAGAATTCAGTTCACACTGAGAGCCTGGAAAAAAGAAACCAACCCTCTTCCAATTTACAAAGGCTTCCTTGCCTGCAGAATAGCAGGTTGCCTCTTGTGCACTGCCAACCATGACGAAGCATAGATCCAGAAAAGAGGACAAAGGAGGCTGTCTGCTTTGTATAAAATTTGCATGTGGTAATTATATGTATAGATGCAAATTAAGAAATACTTATTGCAATTTAAACAGAAGTACAGGATATACCAGCATTGTAGAGAAGACTTGTTTGCTATCTAGGTACTGATAACTGTTGATGAGCAACTTCAATGACCTTGATGTTTTCTGTTCTTAGTGTTCATTGTCTTGAAACAGGACCGCCCTAGAGGATTCCTTCAAATAGAGAGGTCTGTCCTCTGATAGCCCTTCAAACATGACAACCTACTGCAGAATGGGAGGGGAGGAGAAGGTCCCAAGTCCTGCAGGCAGGAAGGTTCCAAGGCCAGTTTCCTGCACATGTGCTATAGGAATCTTACATAGGGGTCTGATCCTTTACCTGGGCATAACAAGTGCTGCTCCTAGGATTTCCCACCTGCAAAATATGAGCTTGACTTGCTCACAGGATTTTATTACCCTGCATTACAAATCATAACAGGGTTTACTCATGCAGGTGTTTAAAGGTGTCTGAGTCCAACAAATAAAATTTGAATGCTGCAGGGTGGTTCTTGATATTTATTGACATGGAAAGACTACGCTGCTGGAGACACTACTTTCTCAGAAGCTGGGAAAGGTCTGTAAAGGGATGGAACGTTGTTTTTCCTGGAATTCTTTTTCTTGAAATGATCCTATTTTAGAGGTCTATAAGCTTTAACAAAAATCCAGGCACACATTCGATTAATATCACCTCTGTGCTGTTTTTCACCTGTGTTTGTCATCTTACTGCTCTTTTTTGCTCTATTTCTATTTTTTGTATCAGTATTAATGTTCTTGCTGTATGCTTCTTTGGGTGTATTTTTGTGTAGAAAAGTGGAATGAAACGAACTAAGCATACATTTTAAAAGGAACATTGACAGATTTCTTCCAGGACTTGTCCTAAAGTCTTGAGGTCAACAGGTTGTATCCAAGAAAGTCATGCTCAGAGTAGATCCCTTGAAATCATTGATTGCAATGGATCTACTCTGATTATGACTTCGTTGGATACCACCCAACATTTCCAGAAGATGCCAAAATTTCCGCAAACAACATTGTATATTTCAGAGAATTGAATATTAGTTACTGAGAGGGTTAACCACAGTTCCATCTTTTTCATTGCAAGAAATTTCTGTTCTAATTACTGTGAGTTCTTTTTTCATATCTTGGTAGGGGAATAATTCTCTAGATAATTAATCTTTCCCTTTTCCACCCTGTGTAATTACTATCGTATTTCTTCCCATCTCCTAACCTTAGGGCTTTGGAGCTTTTCAATCATCCCCACTGTGTGATCCCAGTCTCCAATAATGGCTTCTCCCCTGGTCACCAGGTAAGTTGCAAGATTTATATTCATGTCAGTTTCAAGGAAATCAACTCGTCCTGCCATTCCCCAGAGCAGTGGTTCCCAACCTTTTCGGCATGGTGACCCACTAATCAAAAGTTACTTGGTACATTGATTTTTGGACCTTCGGTCTTTGGCAGTTGCCGGTTTCATGTATTTTAACTGTAAGGTTGCCTATTTTATAACTTAAGGCCCCCATTAATGTGAGATTTGTTGAAATATTTATAGTACTTTCAAAGTTATTCAGGTTTTAAAAAAATAAAATAAAGGGAGGGCATGAACACCAATAATCTGACTGCAGGATGTTATTTCATAATGACTTCATGTTGTAATTTGCCAATGATTAGGTACCTTTCCTCCTCTAAGTTACAACCTTCCCTCTTGACTCCACACATTTAAACAAGTCCAGAACAGTCTATGTCTCTTAAATTCTATGTCTGACCATGCATGCCTTCCACTTCAAGCTCACCACAGAAGTCAGCTATGTTCTCCTGAACCTGAATGTGGAGATCAGGCTACTGATCCCCATCCCACAAACATATGATATCGTTGTTGCTCCAGGCTCCTGCCCTCTTTGCACACAAAAAAATTTCCCCTCTTTTCTCTGTTTGCTGATGCCAAACTGGGCAGTTTATCCCTTGTATTCAGCAGAAAGGATCTACCAGTCAACCCCTGCTCCCTTAGCTTAAAAGGGATTGCGGAAGGAGTTGAATCTCTTTTACCCCCACCAAAAGAAAATCTCTAGACCTGTTGTCTGCAATTTGGCAGGCGTAATTTACTCTGTGCTTTTAAATTTAATCCATTTTGACCAAAAGGGGTAGCAGTTGTAGCTGCTTTTAGTTTCCCCATTATAGGGAACACATAAGTTTGCATTATACAAAGCAGCTCAGAACCCAAAGCACAGAAGGAAGTGAACACAGAATGAATCAAACAGGTACAATTTTTTTGTTGGATACAAGGAAAATTGGGGTGGGGGTGGGGAGCATGCCCATACCTAGTATATGCTAAAGTACAGAAATATGCTGGAAAACATTCAAAGAACATGTCTAAAACCATCACAACACAATCCAGCCACTTTTATGGCTTACAGTGTAATTAACTGTGCTTCCCTTTGGCTGGCTCATGCCCTTGTTTTATCATTTCCTCCCATGCATGCTCAGTAACATTTTTTTTTACACATCTTGCACATTCAATGAAATGCAGAGGATTTAAAAACAACAACAAATATTACAAGTAAAATTGATAGCATGCTCAGCTAGCCATTGAAAAATCAGTTTAATATATTCAGTGGTTCCCCCTGACCCCCAATCAAATGAAAACACTACATGTTTTCAACTCTATTGGGATTTATAGATTTTGAATATATGTAAACGTGAACTTTACATAAAGAGGTCAGGATTATACAAATCACACCTTGACTTGAAATTAGGCAGCTTCAAAGTTTGTCAACACCTGGCTTGCCTGAGTAACTATTAACTTGCATGCTAGTGTTTCCTGTGGAAACCCCCCACCCACCCAAAACACACAGCTACTTTATCTGGAGGTCAGGGATATCAGAATGTAGAAAATCAAAGCTACTGAACAGCAAGTTACATACATTTATATTAAGCTGCTCTGACAGCTGCCTTTGGTCTCCTAAAGCACAGCCAAGAAACTCCGATTGTGGATCTGTTGTGATTCTTTATATTGAAAACTAAAGCTACTCCAACACTACACAAGGGTCCCTAGATGCTACCAGACAGCAGGTTTTAGGAAGTTGAATGGATAACCTAGATTGGATACTGCTGTGTCTCCTTAAAGCACTGCCTGTTCCCTTGCAGCAAAGCAGGCAGGAGCTGCTAAAGAATATTAACTACTTGATTGGGAGGAAATTGGCTGACCTTTCAGAGTGGTCTTTGAACAGGTGAGCTGAATCCCCAGGAACCTAGCTGCTGGATATGACCTTCCACCTACCATAACTCGAGTAAGATTCAGAACAAAGTTGAAAAGGTGGTCAACAGGGCTAGATGAGTGGGCAGAGCACAGATAGAAAGGATGAGAAGGAAGGGTAGGGAGAGAGTGGCGCTCAGCTCAGGCAGAAATTGGTGTCTTCTAACCCATGCCCCAAACTCAGAAATGTACTACGGTAATTGCATATCAGGACACAGATGCTCCATGCCCAGGGCTATGCATGTGTGTCTGTGTGCTGCAAGTGCAGAAGCACAATTACACAAGAAACACAATAATTTATCACTGGGCAGACAATTCAGTGCTGTTGTGGCCATTTTTAGTGAAGGCCATGACAGGGTCTAAAGGCCTGGGCATAGTGCCCCCACCTTACTGCATTCTAGCAGGCTTAGCTGGTGACAGTGGCAGCAGTGGTGGTCACAATGGCATTTTAATTCCCCAGCCATTAGCAGATGACTAACAGTGCTTGGTGCTACAACCACACCTGCCCAGTACTTGCATTACTTGTACAACGCAATCAGGGAATGCAGGAACCAGGTCATGGCTAGGCCTGAAACAGCAGATCTATTTTGGATGGAACCAAATGGTTTTGTGGTTCACTCTGAAATGTATGTGCTGTGTGTGTGTGTGTGTGTGTGTGTGTGTGTGAGAGAGAGAGAGAGAGAGAGAGAGAGAAATACAGTCATACCTCGGGTTACAGATGCTTCAGGTTGCGTTTTTTTGGGTTGCGGACCGCCAAAACCCGGAAGTACCGGAACAGGTTACTTCCGGGTTTTGGCGGTTGCGCATGCGCAGAAGTGCATTGTGAACCCTGAGGGTTGCGAATGTGCATCCCGCACGGATCACATTCGCAACCCGAGCGTCCACTGTATGAGTTGGAAATCCAGTTCTGCTGCATGCTGAGCTAGGCTCATCTGAACAACAGCTTTGTCCTTTGCCTGGATCCATTTCTCACAATCATTTCAAGTAGCAAAACATTATTGAAACTGTTGTGTAAGCAAATCACTCCAAATGAGCTTCCTGCCTAAACGGCTACTGATAAAGCAAAATCAATCAATCAGAGTGTTCTGTTTGGTTTCATTGAGCTAAATGATGTTATAGAGGTTAACAATTTGATGATTATGGAGGAGGAAAGAATGAGAGGGTGACAGTAGTCTTAGGCAGGAGAAGGCAGGAATCCCAGTGCAAACCCAATAAAAGAGATGTTCTGAACTTCAGTGGGGAGAGAACTTAAACTGATCCCGGGCATTGCTGTGGGGGAAAGAATCGGGCATGTGTGTCTTTCTGCAAAATGTTTACTATGTTTATGTACAGTCAGGACTTTCCTGTAACAAGTCATTTTGTGCTGGCACCCACACCACTTTTATCATTATATGAGTACCGGCACCTCATTTTCTTTAACAAAAAGGTAAAGGTAAAGGGACCCCTGACCGTTAGGTCCAGTCATGGACGATTCTGGAGTTGCAGCGCTCATCTCGCTTTATTGGCTGAGGGAGCCGGCATACAGCTTCCGGGTCATGTGGCCAACATGACTAAGCCGCATCTGGCAAACCAGAGCAGTGCACGGAAACACCATTTACCTTCCCGCCAGAGCGGTACCTATTTATCTACTTGCACTTTGATGTGCTTTCGAACTGCTAGGTTGGCAGGAGCAGGGACTGAGCAACGGGAGCTCACCCCATTGTGGGGATTTGAACCGCTGACATTCTGATCAGCAAGCCCTAGGCTCAGTGGTTTAGACCACCCGCGTCCATGTATAATCATGACACACTGATATAGTAACACTGTCTATACGGCCCATCTACACTATACATTTAAAAACACTGCCATGCCATACCCACAGGTATCCCAGAAAAAAAAGAGGGGATATCCCGTTTTCTCGTATGAGAGCATGGTGGTCATTTTGGGTGCCATGATTTTGTGGAATTTCATGGAGGGATGTCACCCTGAAAAAATGCTCTCCCCTGAAAAAGCATTTGGGGTGAGGCTGCGATCCCACATGGCACTTCCAAACCATGCATTTTAGGGCATTGTGTGAGCACAGCCGTGAAAAAGGCTTGTGTTTGGGGCTCCGTGATCTTGCGCAGGAGCACGGACAGAATTACAAGCATCCCAGTTTGGGGACTCAGTAAGTTGGAGGGCATTTCAGTCCACTTTGAGAAGCCATGGTTTCCTCTGCGTTAAATGTATATAGTGCATTTGGCAATGCTTAGAACCTCTCCCCTTAAAAACAACAATAGGCAAAACTTACCTCCCCAAAAGACAAAAAAAGCAGGCCACCTCCAACCAAACAGCCCCACCCACAAAAGCAAAAACGAAACCCCTTCTCAATTAAAAATAAGTAACAATAATAATAATAATGATAATTTATTATTTATACCCCACCCATCTGGCTGGGCTTCCCCAGCCACTCTGGGCAGCTTCCAACAAAATATTAAAATACAGTAATGCATCAAACATTAAAAGTTCCCTAAACAGGGCTGCCTTCAGATGTCTTCTAAAAGTCTGGTAGTTGTTCTCTTTGACATCTGGTGGGAGGGCGTTCCACAGGGTGGGTGCCACTACTGAGAAGGCCCTCTGCCTGGTTCCCTGTAACTTGGCTTCTCGCAGTGAGGGAACCACCAGAAGGCCCTTGGCGCTGGACCTCAGTGTACAGGCAGAACGATGGGGGTGGAGACGCTCCTTCAGATATACTGGACCGAGTAAATTGTGAGGGTCTTTGCGGGCACTAGTATGGTGTCTGAAGGCACTGTGCTGCCTATTGGCACTATGTTGAGGACCCCATCATTAGGGGACTATGCATCTTCATGCCATTGAAAGCTTTACTTGCTTGGTTGCTGTAGATCAAGTTGCTGTTAAAAGCACAAAAGGAAAGCCATAGCCCTTGTTGCTGCAGTCAGGAGCCTCTGGCTCCACACTATGGTGCTGTAGGATGATTTCATTCTCTGCTGTGTAGTTGAACTTAACCTCCACAGTGCAAGCGTGTATGTGTGTACATGCATGCATATGTATAGGTGCAGACACGTGTACACACAAACACA